TAATTAACAGCAGTTTCAGAGCTCATTTGAACTTTTGTATTGTTACTAGCACAGTACTGTAAAAAGCGTAAAGACCAGTGAAAAGAAATAACATACGTGTTGGCATTAAGTTTATAAACCATCACGAGTGTCTTGTGTACATTTATTAATATGTCCATAACGCTTGTTCATTTACATAATTATATAGAAGGGTTATTTCACAGCTTTAGAGAGGGGAAACACTACATTGTAAGCCGGAATAAATTAATTTCGTGAGTTAGAATTTGATATTAATACTTGTCATTCAGAGAGATGTCGAGAAGCATGTCGCGTGTGTGTTAAATTTTGGTACAAGGAAGTTTTGTGAATAAAGTTCAATCTGGAGATTGTATTACTGTAATAATTCTCTTTGTTGATTGCCACGCATTCTTTAAAACGTCAGTGGTGGATCATCTAGATTACTAGATTATCGTCACCTTTCTGGTTGACAATGTAAAAAAGATTTTATCACTGTTAAGACTAAAGGATTCAAACAATTTTCTACGTGAAGTTCTTGCATTGTAATACAAGGTCAATATAATTGTTCCTTGAGTTACAGGACGGCTGTAAAACCTACTCGCCCACCCTTCCCTCATGATCAACTTGATTTCACAGTCACTCACCCACCCCGTTCTTAACCTAAAAGCAAAACCGATGTCAGTCCCAATGATATTGATTCTTTCCTAACGAATTTTGAAGTGTCTTCATTCCTTTTAAGGCGGTTAATGTAGTCTTCGCTCCCTCTCCCGGGCGGGTAGTTTTTGCTGCTTTTGTTTTAACAGTCGTTATCACTTGAACTTCTCCGCCACTCGCCGGGAGAACAGCGCTTGCGCTATTGGGTCTCGCTGCTGTTCTAGTCTTTTGTTGCTTGCGCTGTCTTTTGACTTTTTGTTGTTGCCGTCGAACCATTGCTATTTGTTCTCCTTTCGCCTCCATGCGAGCTTCTAAGTTTTCTAATTCTCGTCTGAGGTCTTCTTGGATTCTCGGATCATCTGATTCTTGTATTTGACGAGAAAGTTCGCGATGCTCGCTGTAAATAGACATATACAAAAAAGATAAGAGGAATTTCTATTTGAAAATGCNGTGGACGGAAAACATTTGATGGGTTTTCAGAATGAAAACTCGATTTTCAAATTTCTCCGGCGGAGTGTGGAGGGAGCGTTAATGGATGTTTCTTTTCCACATTAGATTCATTTTCATCCTTATGTTACCTAAAATGCAAGCGTATTTCAGCAAGCGAGCGCATTTTGTTTTGGGCGAGCGCCAACTTGGGAAACAGGGGATGGCCGCCACATAAGCGAGAAAAAATTATTCAGCGCTCACTAAGGAAAAAACGCCTGCATTGTAGGATAAAGAGGCATGATTTATCAAAACTTAACAGACGATACCCTAACAACTACAGTACTTAGTACATACAAAGTGATGTGTCCAAACTCATCCTGAAGCCCTAGAAGTAACTCATCAAAAGCATTATCTGAATCGCTGGTGCTTGCTGAGCCCGCGCTTTGCGTGTGTCGCTTCTGAGCCCGACGTGCGGCAGCGTTACACAGCGCAGGGTTGTGAGCCTTCATTAAAGACAGCACGGTCTGTACATTAGCGCCAAGCGAGTGTGACTTCGTGGTTGACTGAAAAGAAAAAAAGTAAACAACTTTTGACTCTCATAGTGCCTAAAGGTGTATAAATGGGTT